CGTATATAATCCTATAATTATATTTATTACCTTTATAATATCACATAAATACTCTTTATTATCACATAAATTCCCCTCTTACCCAGTATACTGTAGTAAATAACTTCTCCATCTTCTCCATTATTCCAGCATCTTTTCTATTATCTCCCTCTCCTCCATTATTACAGTAACTGTTCTTCTCTATTATTATAGTAACTGTTCTCCATTGTCTCCCTCTCCTCCAACCGTTTTCTCCCTTTTTCCTTTTATTTTTTTGCTTTTTTTTTTTGTCAACTTCCCCTGCTGAGATTCTTTCTACCCTCTCCTCTCATCTTTTTCTTTGGGTTCATGTTTGTGAACCCAGATTTGAGTTTGTGTTAGTGAACCAAACTCTGGGGTCATGAACAGAAACCCAGATCTGGGTTTGTGTTCATGAACCCAAATAACTTGCTTCACCTTAATGCAGTTCTGGGTTTGTGTTCATGAAACTTTCTTTCTCTTCTTCCTCAAATCAGCCATTTTCCTCCATCTTACAGGTTGTTTAGAATTTGAAATGAAAAGGGAAAAGAACATTCAGTTTGCAATTTGGTACCATAACAGGAAGTGAGGATTTAGGTGAATAATCTAGATTTTTTTATGGGTAAATTTTACTCGAATTCTTGTAAAATATGAAATGAACTATGAAAAATTTGTTTCATTTTGTGTTTGGATGACGAGAAAATTTTTTGTGTTTGAGTATTGAGAAACGTTGTTAAGGAAATTTTTATTTATTTAATTGCAAGGTAATTTTTAATAATGAAATGTATATAAAAAGTAAATATAAATAATTAAATTATAATTGAAATTAATTGCAAGATCATTGATTTTATTTGAAATTTAATTTATGAATTAAGTGGTATTAAATATAATTATAGTCTGTAAACATTATAATTAAATATATTAATAGATTTCTTATTTCATAACTTTTTTTTTATTTTATGGTATGAATTGTATTTATATAAGTATTTTTTTTCATGTTCTTAAATATTAATATCATACTTTTTTATTTTAATTAATTATTATATTTTTTAATTTATTAAAAAAAGAAAAATTATATAATTTAAACATGTAATATGATAATATAATATGTAATTATATTAAAAAAAATTTAACATTAACCATTTATAATATGACAATAATTTTACTTTTATTATATGTCATCAATTATATTAAAAAAAAATGTCATGTACAAAATTTAAAAAATTATGCAAACTCATTTAGTTGATAACCAACATTAATATTTAACTTATATATTAATGGTATGTACTAATATTAATTTACATTCCTTTTAACTCGTATTTTTTATCTAAAATATTTTGGTTTATTTACATTATATTTAATGTATTAAATCATTTATACTATTAATTTTATATTTAGATACATATTACTTCAACTATTGTATTTTTAACTATTAATATTGATTTAAAACAACTGCACCCAAGAATCCAAATCCAAATCCAAATCTTATATTTTGGGGAGTGTGTATGACCGTCACGTCCATCCTCACGTCCAACAATTTGCTACTTGGAATCTTGATTGCAATATAATTAACTTTCAGCAACAATCACTTTGTTGCTGAAAGCCTCACCCTTTTAGCATTACACTCCATGTTGGTGTTGTAACTTTTCAGTAACATAGTGCATGTTGCTGAAAGGCTCATCCTTTTAGCATCACACTCCATGTTGGTGATGTAATGTTTTGGGCCATCCTGTCTTCCCACACACACTCTTTGCTTTCTGCACCATTCTTCCCCCTAAAACATTGCTGCCATATTTCTTCCCATCTCTACTTCATCTTCCTACCAGAATTTGCCACAATCCGAGAAGGCAATTAAGATTTTTAAGGATTATTTACAGTACAAGCTTTCATATTTTCATTCATTAAGGTAAGTTTACCATCTTTCTATTGTTTCCTTATATTTTTTCTACCCTCTTTAATCTTATAGTTTAAATCCATTATCTTTTGTATTCATAACCCATTTCTGTTTAGTATTTGATAATTTATAATCTATATACTGTGAAATAAACTTATGCAATTTGCATGTACCATTTCCCAATTACCCTTCATTTTTATTTCAAGAGCAAGTTTTATTTCTCATTAGTTTTCACCATGATCTTCATTATATTTGAATGTTTTCTTGTATATTATAGTTTTTGTTTCTATCACGGACGAATGAAAATTACGTTTTTTTTTTACTTATTATTGTTTATTATATTATACATAACTTATAGAAAAAAATAGTAGTTAATACAAATATTATTATATTGTAAATACACATTTATTATACAAAAATTAAATATTAATTTGAAATTTTCGGTTCCCCTTAGATGGCATTTTTAGTAAGTTTTTCATTAGAAATAAAGTAATGGTTAAACTCTAAATTTTGCTCTATAAATTTAAAGGGTGTGTACACTCTTCATATCATAGTTGGTTTATTAAATTATAGTCCCTAAACTATGAAAAAGTATACCTTATTAGTCCTTCTGTTACTTACTCGTTAACTTTATTACAATTTGCATAATTTTAATGTTAAATCCCCATTTTGGTCTCTGAACTATTGTACAGACCCCCGATTTGGTCCTTGAACTAAAGAAATCCCTTATTTGGTCCCTAAACTAGTGTACGGACCCCCAATTTGGTCCCCACTGTTTATAATTTGACCTAATTTGGTCCTCGAACTATTGTACAGACCCCCAATTTGGTCCTTATTGTTTACAATTTCGCCCCAATTTGGTCCCTGAACTATTATTTAACAGAAGGACCAAGTTGGGGCTAAATTGGTAAATAGTAGGGACCAAATTGGGGATCCGTATAATAGTTTAGGGACTAACTCGGGGGTCTGTACAATAGTTTAGGGACCAACTTAGGGGTCCGTACAATAGTTCAAGGACCAAATTAGGGATTTCTTTAGTTTAGGGACCAAATCGGGGGTCCGTACAATAGTTTAGTGACCAAAATAGGGATTTAACCTAATTTTAAATCCTTAAAATTTTAGTACAAGTACATTTCTATCTCTCAA